GTTGAAGGGATGTTTGACCTCAACGAGTTACGAGGGAAGTCAGCACTTAAGGACTTACTTGACATGGCTGTCTACCAATACTGGTGCAGCATAACTCAAACTGAGAGTAAAGGTTGAACAGGTTGGTTTGATCAATAACCACATCTTTAAAATGGTTTAAGAAAATAAAAATAGTAGGTGGCTGCGGTAGCATGGTGGTCAGTGCCGTGGTCTTGTAATCCTCCGGTTGCAGTTCGAGCCCAGGTTGTGTCAGGAAGGGCAACCTGCATAAAAAATATTGTCAAAAATTTTATGCGAGTTCGCTCGCTGTGGCAACCCCTGAAGAAGGAAGTAGAAATAGTAAAACGGCATCATTTGTTCGCTAGTGTCTCATTGGAATGCTTTTAAAAAGACAGTTTGGAAGTTAAATTTGGAAAGAAGTCTTTGAAAGTACTGCTGGTTGTTGTAGTTGGCATTGTGCAACATAACCCCAGAAAACTGTTCAGACTTTGTCGTTTGGAAACACCAAAATAGACTGAGTAAAATTTCTGGTAAAATAATGTTTTTCTATATTTTTCCTTTCTGCAGCTTTTTTTTTTTCCTAATGAGTCACCATGTGTCAGTTTTGAAGGTCTTCCTTCTTTGTAGCGTTGCTCAGAGACCGCTGTTGATTGTATGAAACAGAAATGGTTATTTTTACATTCACTACATTTTTCCATAATTATTTTTACTCAACGATTTTTGGCCTTGTAGATGAAAATTGTTTAAGCAAGTTACAAATCTAGGATTGTGGTCAAAATATGTTAGTACCTTAATATTTTTCATGTTTTAACTAAAAATGTATTTTCTAAATTTACTATCAATGTATTTTTTTTGTTTATTAGCAGAATTTGTATTTTAAACTTTAGCAGTCCGTAGTCACTTTTAACAAGCTTTTTGCATGTTTTGTGGTAGTGAACCACTTCTTTGCGTCTCCTTTCTCCAAGTTTTTAAGTGTAAAAATGTTTTTAGCTTCTGCTTCGGACTGAAGAGAATTCAGACTGAGACCAGTCTACCTATGGCTTTTTTGTTGGTAATCCTTTTTGACCAATTTGAGTAAGTTTTGAATAACTTGTTTGCTTGAACTGTCTAATTGCCAAAGGTTTACTGATTTCTTATAAAACCAAATTGACAAATATGCTTTATAAGTAAAAATTTCTCTCTAATACTCACAGGGCCAGTCTTTGAACAACCAAGAAGGGGTCGTCCTGTGAAGTCCACCTTATTAATCTGTTTAGTAAAAAGCTTTTAACAAGCATTTCAATGGTCAGATTCGATGCATTTCATAATTTTTTTTTTTAGGATGCGGATCCTTCCATCTGCATAGAATAAGTCTCCTGGCTAGAAGAGAGCCAAAAGTAATTATATTCCTCTCACACTTGCAGATGGATGCATCCACAGGGGACACCCCCAAACATTGAAATGAGTGGTGAATGGGTACACAGTTTTTCCACATATCCCAGAGATATGTGCCCGTAGTTCAGTGCCAGTTTCAAAGTGCTGAAACAATAACAGGAGTAAAATCTAATTATTGACTGTCTGCATTGAAAAAATAAAGTCAAAATAAAAATTGTTAAAACGAAGCGTAAAAACATTTAAAGTGACCCAGCCACAGCTTAGACCTGAATCGTAAGAGCTGGAGATCATTCAACAGGAGACATGTGAATAACTTAAATACAGGATATATACACGTATCGTTAGGAGCTTTATTAAACGTGTGATGGTAAATTAAGACCTCACCATTATTCACTGACAGAAGATCTGGATCATTTCTAACATGTAATGTTCTATTATTATATTTTGTTTTCTTATAGCGTTACCAGGTAGAAGACTTGAATTAATGCAGATCAAAACAGACAATTTTTTTAAAATCTTGTCTCTATTTCTTAATTTAGAGTTCTTTCAAATCTAAAACATAAAAAAGGGGGATTATTCAACAAGTGTTCACTAAGTTTTGATATTGACTCCGTGCCTGACTCCGCGCGATTTATGCGTGTGAACTATAGCCGAACCGAACTGATGAGAATAGGAGCGGATTTGCCACGAAATATAGCAGAAATCAGCAACAAACTCAAAGCTACGCTCGGCAGAATGCAGATCTTAAAGTCATCTACCTGGAAGCTGCAGCAGAGGCGTTCCAGCGGGCAGAAGAGGAAGCGCTGCTCCCGGCTTAAGAGGAGAGGATGCCGGGCGGGGGTTATGGTGAGGCTACGAGCTAACGCTAAAGCCGGTAAACTCCCCATGCCGTCTCTCTTTCTGTCGAACGTCCGCTCGTTGGACAACAAGGTGGATTTACTTCGTCTGAGAGCGGGCGCCTCAGAAGAGATGAAGAAGTGTGCAGTGCTTTGCCTCACGGAAACGTGGATTACAAGTGAAACGCCGGACTCAGTCTTCCAGCTGGATGACAGACTTTTTTTTCGAGCGGACCGCTGCAGCGAGCTAACAGGGAAATCACGGGGGGGCGGAGTGTGCATTTACGTGAGTAAAAGTTGGTCCACGAACTGTACTGTTGTAAATAGCTCATGCTCGAAGGCTTTGGAGCAAATAACAGTGAAATGTCGGCCACATTATCTACCCCGAGAGTTCACAGTGACTTTTATCACAGTTGTTTACATTCCTCCGGACGCTAATGCTAATGAATCACTACAGGAGCTTCATGATATCATCAGCTCGCTGCAGAACAAACACCCCGAGGCTCTTTACGTTGTAGCTGGAGACTTTAACCACGTGAATCTAAAGGACTGTCTCCCAAGCTTTAATCAGCATGTGACGATTCCAACACGTGGAGACCGCACGCTGGACCGTGTTTACACGAACGTAAAAGATGCATACAAAGCCGAACCCCGCCCCCACCTAGGACTGTCAGACCACATCTCAATCTTCCTGGCTCCTGCTTACATGCCCCCGCTGAGACGCTCCAGACCGGTACAAAAGAAAGTTAAATGCTGGATCCAGGACAGTGGCCCCATACTGAGAGATTGTTTTGATCAAACAGACTGGCAGGTTTTCAGAGAAGCTGCTGAAAATGGAGGTTCGCTTGATCTTGACCAATACACATCCTCAGTACTGGGTTACATTAGTACATGTACTGACACAGTCTCCACTATCAGAAATGTTAAAAGCTACCCAAACAGAAAACCTTGGCTGAATGCAGAGGTGCGTACCCTGCTGGAAGCCAGGAACACTGCCTTCAGGTCTGGAAACTCAGAGGAGCTGAGTAGGACAAGAAAAGAGCTGGTTGCTGGTATTAAGAGGGCCAAGGCCACATATGCAAAGAGGATCGAGGGTCAATTCATCTCACAAGACCCTCGGAGCATGTGGAGGGGCATTAAGTGCATAACAGATTATAAAGGAAGGAGTGAACAATGTCCCAAAGACCCATCTCTGCCTGATGCCCTCAACAAGTTCTATGCACGCTTTGAAGACCCGAACAGACCACCCAGCACCAGACTCACCTCACCACCGGATGAAGAGCATCTCAGCGTGACCTCAGCAGAAGTAAGGAGTACCTTCAGGAGGATTAATCCGCACAAAGCAACTGGCCCAGACAACATCCCCGGAAAAGTGTTGAAGGAATGTGCTGATCAGCTCTGTGAGGTGCTGGCAGACATCTTTAACACCTCACTTACCCTGGAGACAGTTCCCACCTGCCTGAAGACTGCCACCATCATCCCAGTCCCAAAAAGCTCTACAGTGACTGGTCTGAATGACTATCGGCCAGTGGCCCTCACCCCGATAGTCGCTAAATGCTTCGAAAAACTGGTCATGACTCACATCAAAACAACCATCAACATCAACGAGGACCCTCATCAGTACGCATACCGTGAGAACCGATCAACAGAGGATGCAATCTCCTCTGTGGTCCACACTGCGCTCAACCACCTGGAGCAGAAAAACTCTTACGTCCGTATGCTCTTTGTGGACTTCACATCCGCCTTCAACACCATGATCCCCCAAACCCTGATGGACAAACTATCCACACTAGGACTAAGCCCCTCCATCTGCAACTGGGTACTAGACTTTTTAACAAACAGACCACAGTTAGTGAGGATCCACAACCTCTCCTCCTCCACCATAACCCTCAGCACTGGCTCTCCTCAGGGATGTGTGTTGAGCCCCCTCCTGTTTACTCTGCTCACATATGATTGTGCAGCTACCCATCCAGGCTGTCACATTGTAAAGTTTGCAGATGATACAGCGGTGGTGGGATGCATCACAAACAATGATGAGTCCAGCTACAGGCAGGAGGTGGAACACCTGGAGAGCTGGTGCAGAGAGAATAACCTTCACATCAATGTGAAGAAGACAAAGGAGATGATTGTGGACTTCAGAAGGAACAAAAACACCTACACCCCCCTGAACATAAGAGGATCTGCGGTGGAAGTGGTCTCCAGCTACAAGTACTTGGGTGTACACATGAATGACAACCTCAGCTGGAGCAACAACACCACCAGCCTGATCAAGAAAGCTCATCAGAGACTCTACTTCCTCAGACGGCTGAGGCGAGCTGGTCTGGGAAGCTCAGTCCTCACCTCCTTCTACAGATGTGCAGTGGAGAGCATCCTGTGCTCCAGCATCAACGTGTGGCATGGAGGCTGCACAGCTGCAGAAAGAAAAGCTTTGCAGAGAGTGGTGAAGGCTGCACAGAAATCTGTTGGAGTCAGTCTCCCCACCATCACAGACATCTACACCTCCAGATGCAGGAAGAGGGCCACCTGCATCATGAAGGACCCCACCCACCCAGCACACACACTTTTTGCCCCACTCCCCTCAGGAAGGAGGTTAAGGAGCATTAAGTGTAGAACCACTAGACTGAGGAACAGCTTCTACCCTGAGGCTGTTAGACTCATGAATCTCTAACTAGAATAATCACTGTGAAAAACCATATCATGTTGTTGCTGATCTGTTTCATGTTGCTGCTGATCTGTTTCAATGTTGATGTGTTCATGCGTGCACATCTGCTCACAGACTCATGTTCATGTTTGTGCTGATGTTCAATGTTTTATGTTATGAGTGCTTAGTGTATATTTAGTTGATGTTTTTCTTAGTTCATATCTTAGATGTTGTTACTGTTTTTCTTATACATTTTATTGTTGGATGTAACTGGGACCCTGTGTACATAATTTCGCTCCACCACATGTACCACATGAGGTGCGAATGACAATAAAGAAACTCTGACTCTGACTCTGACTGACTCTGACTAAGGGATGTAATTGGACCTCAGCTGCCATGTCTTTTCTGAGGGGCACTGATGTTCTGAGCTAAACAGCTGCCATGGTGGTGGATATAGATACTCTGTGTGTCCTTGAGTTGCCCCCAAATTTATTATTCAGTTTGCTTTTAGAACTACACAAAACAAACTAAAAACTTACTTATTGTTCATTTAAACACTGTTGCTTTTATTTGATTTTTTTAAAACCAAAATGTTTAAATTTAATTGATCATAAAAGTGTCACATTTTAGGATGCTCTGAATTATTCTTGCTTTCATTAATTTATATTAAGTTTGTAAAACCTGATTCAATTGTTACAGAAGAGCTGCACTAGTTTCTCCTCACAGGATAAAGACTAAATATAGAAATAGTTCTTGACGCTTTCCTGAAGCAGACTGACAAAAGCTCATTGTTTATTTTTGGAGGAGAATGTTCTAACCATTTGTTTCAACAGGATTGTGACTCCGTTCAGCAAACTGGTGTTTCGCGTGTGGAGCCACCAGACCTTAAAGTCAGATGTGTTGTTGGGCATTGCCACGCTGGACATGAGTGAAATGCTCAAGTCCAACGACATGAAAAGTGAGTAGATCAAATTCACATGGCTATTAAAATATTAAGCGCCTTGCATTTAACTTGATTTATAATCTGCGTACACTTTAAAGGACAGTGTTGGCTAACAGTGAAAGTTGGGCAAATTGAAGCTATTATTTTTGTCAATTCAGAGAGCTCAACAGGACAAAAACAGTCCAAACATAAATCAGGTTCTAGTGACATTTGTACTGTTGCCTCATCTGACAGGGAACCAGAGGCGATAGTAGGAAGGATGGCTTGAACTTTTTCCCTAATTAAAGTAATTGTAATTATAAAGAATCTCATGAACTTATCACTGTTTATTAGGATACATGGTTCAACAGAGATAGGATTTTTCATTAGATAGTAGCAACATTTGTTTTGTTTCTCATAAATACTTCATTCAGTTTCAGTTCCCTGCCTGGTTATATTCCAACAGTAATAATGATGGAAAACAGGATACAAACTACAAATTGCACAATTATGATAATGACTTATTAGTTCAAATTTTGCTTTGATGTGAAGGTTTTGTGTTCATTGTAAGCTCTTGCTTATTTCAAGAAAACAACATTCTGCCTGTTCCAGAGCAGCTGAGCAGTCAGTGCTTTGTTGTTCTTCTCATTTATTTTCATCATTTGTTGTAATTCAGTTTAATGTGTCTTCTGAGCCAAGCCTAAGTCTACTGGTATTTTGTTTTTCCCATCTTACCTGGGTGTGAGTGTTGGCTTCATTAACTTCAATCTGTACGTTTGCTTTCCTTCCCCTGACTGTGTGTTGTCTCACTGTAGTTTCAGAGGTCGTGCAGAGCTTACAACTGTTCAGTGACAGAGACCAGACAGATGTGGTGGGAGACCTGTCTGTCTGCCTGGACGGCATGGCTGTGGACCCTGAAATGTTTGCCTCGGCTGAAGCTGACCGTCAAAGTGAGTCATGGTGGAGCCACAAGAACTATTTGTCTGTTCTTGTAAAATATTCTTGTTGGGAAATATAACTTAACTTTTCAAAAGGTTTTAGTTGCTTTAAAGTCACAGTGCAGACACACACGTTTGTAGAATCTTGGTTTGTTAAACTCATTTTACTGACCTGTTTTTCAGGTGCAAATGGGGAGTCACAGCCTAATGGGGATAATTCTTTAAGGTACCGTTTACTTTCCGATCTCCAGTAGTGGTTCATTTGTGACACATGTCAACATTTTCCTCCTTTGGTCTTCTCTGTCCTTCCTGACAGGCCAAGTCGGGACAGTTCTCCGTCTGTGAACGGCATCGAGCACAGATCTTCTCCCAGCGTCCAGAGGACTCAAAACAGAGGGTCCCCCTCAGTGTCATCAGTGGGGACAAGGCCCATTCGACCACCAAGACCCTCCAGGCCTCCTCCTCCAACCCCCCGCAGACCAACGTCTTCACCAGGTAAGATACTTGCTTGACTAAAGCTAGTTTGTCATTATTTCTCATTAACATCAACAATAGTCTCTCTGAATGTTTCCTCAGCACCTTCCATCAACGGCTCTGGTTCAACAGATGTTAGTGACAACCAGTCAGCTTCAGATACTCCAGTGCAAACGCCGGCCTCGAGGCCCTCATCAGCTGCAGACTTAAGCCCACCAGCGTCATCAGACAGAAATGCCTCTTTAGCTTCCGGCTCTGGAGCTGCAGCAACCAGGCAGCCAACCAGCACCGTCACCCCATCTGTTCCTCCCAGAGTACCAGCCACCGCCACCGGACCTTTACCCCCTGGGTTTGTTCCTATTTTGTAATGATTTCAGAAGAACTTGGTGAGTCATTAAAATGAACTTCATCTGCAGAAACTACAGGAAGAGAGAAGTTAATGGGTCACTTGTAAATGCAAAAGTTTTTTTTAGAAATTATTGGTTTTGAACATCCAGTACAACCTTTAGATTCAAAAGTTTTTACTTAAGCCAAACAAAACTGCATCAATATAAAACTCCTTGGGGATATTTTAGGAGATTAAAATACCAAGTCAGCTGAGAACAAGTATGAGCCTGAAGTACCAACAAGTAGCAGCACCCTCCTGCTTGGCAGCATTTTTAGGAAAGTGTGACATTTTACTGAGTCATCTTTGGAAAACTGTACAGACGTGTCTACACATTGATTTCAGCTGTGAGTTTGTTGTGTATCAGATTTTTTATTGTTTTGATGTTTAATTATCAATTTTTTTTCTTGTTTTTCTACTTTTTACCATACCTTACCACTTTATTTATAAAGCACTTAAAAACAGCATCAAGTCCAACCAAAGTGCTACAAAAAAAGCAAAGGACACAGGAGAAAATACACAGATCCAAATAGATAAAGATAAAAACTAAATGACTAACATTATAGAATACAGACAAGTTAAAATCAACTCACGCAGAGTCAAAAGCCAAGGAATAAAGGTGTGTGTTTAAACTAGACTTAAAAACTGTGAGGGAGGGAGCCTGCCTGACTCGCAGCGGTAAATCATTCCACAGTTTTGGACCCGTCACCTCTGAGCTTAAAACGAGTGCCTGGAGCCAATAGAAGCATATGATCTGCTGACCTCAGTGAGCGCTGCATATGGCTGCAGCAGATCAGCAAGATAAGAGGGACAGAACTGTTCAGAGATTTACAAACATACAGAAGGATTTTAAAATTAATTCAAACATGAACCAGGAGCCAGTGAAGGGAGGCCAGAACTGGAGAAATGTAATTTTTAGTCTAAATTCAAGCTGCTATTCTTTTCATATTGCTTCACTGTTTTTGTCATTATGACAGTTTTACTGTTTCTTTGTTTCTGTTTTAACAGTGGTTTGTTTCTTTAAGGTTGAGTAAAAATTATGACCCAAATATGTTTGTTTTTCTTGTTGTCCTTTCTGTAGGTGGGAGCAGAGAGTGGATCAGAACGGCAGGCTGTATTATGTTGATCATGTCGAAAAGAGAACAACATGGGAACGTCCTGAATCACTTCCTCCTGGGTAAAACCTTTTCCAACAACTTGTATTAATAGAAGTATTATAAATACAGTTATTCAAGGAACTTGTTTTTGAATCCGAGTACTGTCAAGACCCAAACAAAGTCCGTTTTCACAAGAAAGTATGAAGGTTTAATCTCTCCCCGCGACCTGACTTTGAAACGTGCAGCTAGACAGATGACTCATTCTCTCAAAAAATGTATTGTCAAAAATGTTTTAAAAGTTTAAATTGAATATTTTTAAATGAACATTGACATTTTTGTTAGGTGGTGTAAAAGTCTGACCAAGTTTCTAAAATCATAAAACTTTTTACCCTAAGTCAGATTGGTTTTCTATTCATTCCAGTTTTCATCATAAATACAGAAACTCTGATGTAAAACATTTAAATGCTCGTGATGACAGAAGACGAAGTGAGGAATATGAGTTTAGCTCAAATTTAAATAATTTTATTGCACATTACAATTGTTTTTATATTTTTTACAGCCCTACCAGAAATCGTTGTTTTCCTTTTCTACGTCTACAGATGGGAGCGTCGCGTTGACCTGTCGGGTCGGGTCTACTTTGTGGATCACATTACTCGAACCACCACATGGCAGCGCCCCACAATGGAGACTGTGCGTAACTACGAGCAGTGGCAGCATCAGCGCAGCCAGCTGCAGGGCGCCATGCAGCAGTTCAACCAGAGATTCATTTATGGGGTAAGACTTCCTCCTCACCAAGTGATGCTGAGTCCTAACGTGGGCGTTACTGAACAAATGTCACCAAAATGGAGAAATGGCCTTTTGGGTTTCCTGCTTGAGCATAAAGCAGAAGTGCTTCCTGGGTTAGTTCTTTAAACAAACTCCACTGATCCTAAGCTTGTGTGTCGCATCGGCAGCAGGCCTTGTTCACTCAACCTCAGGGACCTGCAAAGGACGTTATGGGTGTAAAAGTTTTATAACGTATGCTGATGCTGGTCCATAAAAACCTTTAAAAGTTAATAGAAGACTCTTAAAATGGATTCTAAAATCGAAGCCTGTGCAACTGAGTTACCAAGGGTGTAACACGTAGATATTCGAATGACTAGAAGCCTCATTGAAGCTGAAATAATCTGCAGATGACCCAAGGAGGCTTTGCTAAAACAAGTTAGATGCAATAACTACGATGGGAAGAAATAACAGCGCATGACTAACAATCTTAAACTCAGAGCGTGATACAATGGAAAATAACTTGGCAATGTTTTAATTAATCTAAATCATCCATCCATTCATTCATTAATTATCTTTGCCCGCTTCTTACTTTCTGGGTTGCAGGGAGTCACTGGTGCCCATATCCAGCAGTCACTGTGTGAGAGGCGGGGGACACCCTGGACTGGTCTCCAGTCCATCACAGGGACACATAGAGACAAACGAGACAAACAACCATTCACTGTCTCACACCTAGGGACAATTTAGAGTTACCAATCAGCCTAACATGCATGTTTTTGTTCTGTGGGAGGAAACCAGAGTACCCGAAGAAAACCCATGCATGCCTGGAGAGAACATGCAAACTCCACCCAGAAAGGCCCAGGATTCGATCCAGCAACCTTCTCGCTTAGAGACGGTAGCTCTACCAAATGCGCCACCATGCCACCCTAATCTAAATTATGTTTATCTTAACCTTAGTTTATCCTGGCACTGCTTATAAGTCCCAGTGTAACCATGCTGTTCCATCATCTCCGATATCTCTCTGTAAATGCGCTCATTTCTTGTGACGCCTTCCAGCTCACGCTTGAATCGTCGGCCAATAAAGTTAGGAAGGTCTGTGCATCGTTATTGGTCCACGGCACTATTTTTGGAGTTTCCGTATCAGAAATTAAAATCTAGACAAAGCACATACACAACACGATCAGAGAGTAAATGTCAGTTCAGTTGTAGTTTGCAGATATTTGCAGTTTTGCTTGGCGTGTCATTCAGGGTGTAGGTCCACTGGCCAGTCAACTGCTGCTGTCTGCTTACGTCAGTAGTCACCATGAAGCAATTCGCTTGGAACCATGAACAAGGTGGTCCCATAAACTGGGCTGAGTGGGGGTGGGTACTGGTAGTGGAGAGGCTCTTAACTGGTGTAGTGTGGTGCAGAACCGATGAGAGTTAAGACGGTGGCAAAGCGCCATTAAAGTAGCCACCCTCAGTCCTTCACTTTTGACTTTTCTTCTTTTGTCTCCTGACACGTTTCTCTCCTCGTGGTCTTTGACTCACAGTAGCACAATTTCTGCCAGTCCCCTGTCAACAGCACCGGTGGCGGTCGTCGTTAACCCTGGTTCGAATGATCCGGTTTGGTGTCACTTAGGTGAAACTTGCATTAGTTTTTGCAAAATGTTTTACGTTGGATGCCCTTCCTGACACAACCCTCACCGTTTACCTGGGCTTGGGACCGGCACAAGGGATACGCTGACTTGTGCTCTCTAGGTGCTGTTGGTTTTTTTTTTTTTTTTTTTTACAGTACAAATTAATCCATTTAAATTAACAGCAGGATTGTATAAATGTATATAAAACTGAGCAATGTTGTAGACCATATACCCAAATGGAAACAGTAGAAAAAAAACAACTATGTAACTGTTGTGTATTAGGATTTGGATCACAGAAATACTTTTAAAATTTAGTCCAGAAACAACAAAAATCTGGAAACATAAATTAAATTTATCTTTTTTTTCCCCAGTAAGTTCATAAACATGAACAACAGTTCAGTAACAGATGGGTAAAATAAAAGCTTATAGAAAGTTATGTGGTTTATCACATAGTGGAATTTTTTTTAAATAACATTTCTGAACACCAAGCTAAAAGCACTTATGGTATTTTTGATATTTAATAGTGCATAATGTCATTATAATATTTTAAGACTTGCAGAGAAATTCCCGCTGGTAAAAGAAAAATCTGAGCAGACATGTTGAATTTTATATTTAGTGCATCAAGCAGCATTCCTTTTAAAAAATGTTGCATGTGTAAAATTCACTGCATTTATGGATTAAACAAAAAACTTTAAATCAATAAGATATATATCCGAGACGTCGTCTTATTTCTCTGGGAAAGAGTTTCAGATGAACTGTGGTGGTTTTTATTCTCCTCTATAGTCCTCCAAAAAGATGTGCCTTTATTTTAAGATCTCCATGTTTTGCTTTACCTAAATGAAATGCATAAAAAGATTTAGAGCTCTTACTTAGTTCATCTTACATCTTCAAAAAAGAAAATAAAACAAATATTTATATAAAGTGTTGTTTTACAGCATTGTCTCCCAGTGTTCATGTTCTCTCCTTTGGTCTTTAAAGCAGACTGGAACAATTTTCTGTTTCTTTTGGGTCAAAAATGTCGCCTCGTTTGTTTCCCACCATAACCTAAATCACTCAGCGATCTGTCTCTCACACACATGGTCTCCCTTTTCACTCATTCCTTTACAGATTTGTTCCCTTTCGGGTAATATGGGACCATCTTCAAGTCACAGTCTCTCATGTCGTCTGGCCTTTCATTAATTTACAAAGAATTTTGAAAAGTAGCTCAAGAGGAAAAACTTTTCTTTGGTTGGTTTTTGTTTTAACTAAAGTATTTTCATCTTTGTAGGTTCCAGACCAGGCCGCAGCTAATCAGAATAAGGAGTTTGATCCTCTTGGGCCACTGCCACATGGTTGGGGTAAGATTATTAGGATTTTTATTATTTAATGTTAGAAGCTTTTCGCCAAGTCCGATTTACTTTCAACAATAGTTTTCAGTGCGTAATTCAAACGGTATAATTTCCTTTCATATGCGTCATAGCAGTCTTAATAATAACTAACATCCTAACTCGAGCATTTCCAGATCTTAGAGTTCAATTTGAAATAAGTTGAATGTCTGTTTACTCAACATGAACATGTTGAACATGTTTTTCTGTGCTTTGCTGTGTGTTTAACAATTAGAAGTTTAAAACTGCCACAAAGTAAAAACACAAATTAAAACAGCAATAAATCTGTCAATTAGTGCCAACAATAAATGTGTAAAGTGTGACAATTTGCTCAAACTTCCTTATCCTTTTATATGCGTATTCAACTTATTACCCTTTGGGGTCAACCAGATTCAAGATGGCTGCCACAGACGATTGACCTTGGGAAACACAGAATTGTCTATAACTCAGTTTTACAGATATTTTGCTATAATTGGTGTCGTAGTAGCTGAGCATCATATCCAACATATACTCGAGCTCTAGACATTGTGCAAGATTTTTACTTAACACTTCGGTGTTAACCATTAAACTTGGCATTGTCTGTTAGCAAAATGTCTACATAACCTCTAAACAGATTTTAATGAAACTCAAAATAATTTTTAGATGTACGTCTAAAACTAACTTATCTTTTGGAATCAACCCAATTCAAGACGCCGCAGCGAAGCTTGTTCAGCCTTGTTGTTTTTAAGTGCTTTAAGTGTTAAGTAGGCCTGTCGCCTTAAACAATAAATCAATTTATCGCATGATGAATTAAAATGATCAACCTCATTTTCATTTATTGGCATTGTCGTTTCTTCGTCTCTCTCTCTTTCTACTGAAGACACTGGATGACAAAAGGCTCAACTCTGATGTTCTTCACTGACCCCTCACTTTCTCTTTTCTCGATAAAATCTCTTTTAACCGTCCAAAATTGTGTTTTTGGGCTCGTTAAAAGCAGCTAAGATGATATGGTATCAGAGAGTCATACTTTGAGCGCTGACTCACCTTACAATAATGCACAACAATAGGGGTACACCGAATGCAGTTTTCTGGCTAATCACCAGTCTCTAAAAAGCCTGATCTGCTGATTCCGATTTTGGCTGTTACCGAGTTTGTTTTATAAGCGACACCGTCAGGTGTTATAAGGTCACAATGCACCTTCAATTTTCCAGTCTTATTTTATTGAAAAACATACCCTTGAACAATATCCTAGAAACAGTACAAACTTGTTTTAACTGGCCATGAGGTAGTGCTCTGAAATATAAATGAAGTTTAGACAATTTCTGTTAAACTACAAAAAATCTGTAAAATCGGTTTCTCATGCAAGTATCGGCTGATCTCCCAAAATTAAGGTAATTGGGGCCAATTAATCTGCTGGCCGATTTATCGGTGCACCCCTACACGACAATAAACTTAACAGTGATTACAAGGTCGGACCTGCTGAGCGTCTGTAGTTATCCAGTTAGTTTTGAAATACGCAGTTAAAATACTGATGTTTACAGTTCAAACAAAGATAATAACATCACAATTTAGATATCAAATCTACAATACATATTTTTAGCATTTATTGCCATATGAATATATATTTTGATGTTTAAGATTTTAAAGTTGGCAGTTTCAGTCCTTTTAAAAGGTAAACTAAAAGAGGTTGAATGGATAACGAATCTAAAAATGAACTAATGGACTAGGTGACTGGCTGTTTTATTGTCTTTTCAGAAAAAAGGACAGACGGTAATGGCCGAGTTTATTTTGTTCATCACCCAACACGTTCTACACAATGGGAGGACCCTCGAACTCAGGGGTTAGTTTGTGTTTGTAAACTCCACCAGCATTAGTATCAGCTGAGCTTTCCTTGTTTTTCTATTCATGTTTTTTTTCTTGTATCTTTTTTTTTTTTTTACAAAAATAAAAGTGTCTGTGTGCAAATATTGGTCTTATCTAATTTTCAGATTGTTGAATGAGAAGCCTCTTCCAGAAGGCTGGGAGATGAGGTTCACTGTAGACGGTATTCCTTATTTTGTGGACCACAACAGGAAAACTACCACCTACATCGACCCTCGCACTGGAAAATCCTCGCTGTACGTTTTTCACCCGTTTTCTGGTTCACTAAAATATCTTACACCCTCTGAGAGTCGTGTTGAACACAGGGACACGAAAATCATTCCATTAACAGGAACCTACATCTGACCCTGTTGTGTTTTTATAAACATAAATATGTTTTAGTCTGGGTTTAAAAAAAAGATTTTTTGCAACTATATCCAAAAAAAGTAAAAAAGCCAGGATTAACTATCAGTAATAGTTTATTTTTATTTATTGTGGCTCATCAGAATTTACCCTGAAGCGTTAATTAAAATGCCCGTAACTGAAGTAGTATTGCAGTCGGTGTGGGCAGTTTATAATATCTAGCGTAGTACAGTATTACTATGTATAAGAACTTGTAACAAACACATTGCTCTGATATAAGTAACGAGGAACCTTCAGCTTAGTTTCAGTCATTTTCTCTCACTAGCTTGTGAGTTTTACGTAGGTGTAATTACTTTGGTTACTTTTATGTGGTTGAAAAACTGGTTTGGTAAAGGAACATTGCAACGACGTAATATGAACTGACTACAGTAATATGACTGTGACTTAAAACATCTGTCCCCAGATGCTTTGAATGGTTTACACCTTTTCTGGGGCTGATGTATTATAACAACTTCTTGTAAAAACATTTCAACTTAATTTAAAATGGTAAAACGTGTTGGTTCTAGATAACAGTACATTGTAGTGTTGGATACTAAGATTTTAAAATGTTATTTAATATGCTTTAAGATTTGGCATTACATTTCTCTCTTTTTGTGGCCACAGTGAAAATGGACCGCAGATCACCTACGTACGAGACTTCAAAGCTAAAGTTCAGTACTTCAGATTCTGGTGCCAGGTGAGAGACATACTTATATAAACATCATATCAACATAACTTTTAATTACCAGACTTTTTTTGGGTTTGGATTTGGATTTCATCAAGCTGGACATAAGTGACTGTTATTTTATGAACCACTGGATGGACTTTATTGAAACTCTAAAAGTATTTATTAAATGTCTGTCTACAACTAACTTTTGGAGTGAACCCCATTCAAGATGGCTACCATAGCTCGGTGACCTCAGCAAACACAAAAATGAGTATAACTCCGTTAGTTTTACAGATATTGAGTTAAATTTGGTGTGAGTCATCTTCATCATATAGTTTGAGTGCTAGGCCTGTCGCAATAAACAAATCAATTAATCGCATGATAAATGAAAATTATCAACCTCATTTTCATTTATCGGCTTTATCGTTTCTTCGTCTCTCTCTATTTCTACTGAAGACACTGGATGACAAAAGGCTCAACTCCGGTGCTCTTCACTGACCCCTCCCTTTCTCTTTAAAATCCATTTTAACCGTCCAAAATTGTGCTTTTGGATCGTTAAAAGCAGCTAAGCTGAGAAGCTAAGCTAACAGGCCAAATTCGTCGAAGCTCCAAAATTCACAGTTGAAACCCGTGCCTTCATGTAAAAAGTTTTTCTCCACAAAAAGAAGCTGAGAACTTGTTTACTGATTTTTTTTTATTTTTATTAAAAGCTTTGTGTGAAAAATGCTAAAGAGCTCAAACCACATCGAGCGTCCGCCCTTTTGAGAACCAAAAAAATAAACAGAGCCAGCCCATGTCACTTCAAGGGGCCCCCCTCCCATTTTTCTTAGAGACAGGCTGCTCTTCCTCACTAGCCATCCCTTGGTTTAAACAGTCTTATACTGCCATCCGGTGGTCAAAAAAGGTACTACGTTCAAAATAAAATTAACCAACATTTCTTTTTAAATGTGACAATAATTACTAATAATTGTCAAATTTCAAACAATATTATTGTTTATTGCAATAATTTTGGAGGCAATTAATCGCCCAGCAAAATTTGTTATCGTGACAGGCCTATTGAGTGCTGCACATTGCCCAAGATCTTTGCTTAAAACTTTAACGTTACTTGTTGGGTCACTGTTCTCTTTGCAAAACTTTTTTATGAACTACGGGACAGGTTTTTGTTTAAACTGCTTGAAAGTTATAATTGGATCTACAACTCATTACTTTTTGGAGTCAACCCGAGTTTAGATGGTTGCCACATCTAATTTACTTTAGCCAGTGGCTAAAAGATGGCTAAAACTCGGTCAAATTCACAGATACTGAGCTAAAGTTTGAAGAGATGGTAGCTGATAGTCCTCTAAAACACATTGAGCAATAACTTATCTCAAAAGAGCTTGTCGTATCATGAGATCGCACTTAATGCCATTTATAAAGTTTGACCCAAGCAGCTGGAACTATTTCCATCATAAGATTATTGTAGCATGAAAGGCAGCAGGCAATATCAATTTCTTTAAGGAATGCTTGGTTTGGTAGTTGATACATACTTTTTTAATATAGCAAATATGTATTTTTAACCACAATGTAATACAAATACTGTAAAGTGACAAGGCTTTGAGTCTTTCAGTCTGTTCTTGCATATCTTAATTTTATTGGGGACATACTAGTGGGATTTGTTGAACAAAGAATAAACAGGAAGTGGGAAAAGAGAAATGGTAGACATGCAGCAAAAGTTCACAGACCAGGCTAAAAACAGGGTTTATAGTCCTTGTTGTTTTGCACTTCACTGGGGTGGAGCAGCATTGACTGTTGGGTGTAAAATAAATGTTTTCCTTGTTTTTTTTTAATCCAGCAACTGGCATTGCCTCAACATGTGAAGATCACAGTAACTAGAAAAACCCTTTTTGAGGACTCTTTCCAGCAGGTATGAAATCCACCAGTTTCCAGACGTTTTATAAAAAGTGTGTGTTGGTGAAACAGATAAACAGATGAGTGCAACAAACAAAATTAAGCTAAATGGGTAGTATTTACCAGTAATAAACCAAAATGATTTGTTTTTAAACTAGTTGGGATTACCATTTCCTGTTTTTCCTGTTACAATAATCACACTTGATTAATTAAGGAAGTCTGTTCTTTGTGTAATACTGTGATCCCACCTTCTGTCTGGTTTAGATCATGAGCATCAACGCTCAGGATCTACGAAGGAGGCTGTGGATCATCTTTCCTGGAGAGGAAGGCCTCGACTATGGAGGTGTTGCCCGGTGAGTTTAAAAACAAAGTTATTATTTTTATTGGCCACCCTTTGGCTCTGCCATTGTGTCTGGTCATGGGTAAAATGGTTCCCTCCACTCATCATGATCCGTCACCCTGTGCTGCCTGGTACAAGCAAAAAATAAATAAAATCCTACCTCTGTTCTTATACACAATGTAATATCTACCCACTTGAATATCTTGCACGAAAAATATCAAGGCCTACTTGCATTCCCTGTTCAATTCCAGTAAAACAGAAAGTACGAACATTCACTTTTCAAATCCCTCAGCGATGGTGAACATCAACGTACCGCTTGTTATACTTTGTGTCCAAGTAGACAAACTTTCTTTTATTGCTTTGGGTTGGTTCTTGAGCAGTTCTCCAACTTTGTTGTCTTTTATCTTTGAGCCTCCCATTCCGTCTTCATCCTTTCACTCGTGACATCATTCTGCAAAAACGCCACATCCAGCTTTAAGATGTTAAGCGGAAGGCGCTTCATTAAAACTATGGATTGTGCCTTTAAAAGGCAGTTTTTTATTATAAAATTTTCTCTTGTTGTTTTTTCTTACAGAGAGTGGTTCTTTCTATTGTCCCATGAGGTTTTGAACCCAATGTACTGCCTGTTTGAATACGCCGGTAAAGATAACTACTGTCTCCAGATCAACCCTGCTTCCTATATCAACCCAGACCACCTCAAGTATTTCAAGTTTATAGGACGTTTCATAGCCATGGTTAGTTGTTTTTCCTCATGTTGGACGGTTCAAAAATGGTTTTCTGATCCTTAATTCATTTATAAATTGATTAATGTCAAATAATTATACGTTGTCTTTATTCTTCAGTCACTTTTTCATGGCAAGTTCATCGACACTGGTTTCTCACAGCCGTTTTACAAGCGAATGCTCAACAAGCCTTTAACACTCAATGATCTAGAGTCAATAGATCCTGAGTTCTACAACTCCCTCATGTGGATCAAGTGAGTACCCCAAAATTATTGTGAGTTATTGAGCACAAAGCGTCAAAGTCCAGTACGAAAGAACAAAAAATATGGTTGGTTGGAGTAGATACATTTGTCTTTGTGAGTTTTCTTTATTTTAGATCTCTGAACATGGAAAAAACTTGAGTGATGTGGTTCATGCAAATAATAAGTGTAAAGTATTTACACAAGATGTCTGTCAACATGAAATCACAGACCTGAGTCTTGTAGATTAATGATCAGAACCAAGTGTATTATTTATATTTTTTATGGTGCTTTGAAAATTCAATTCAGTTTATTTATGTAGCACCAAGTCACAACAGACGTCATCTCAGGGCACTGAACAGAAACATTCATGTATAAAAATAATAATTTAACATTATTATCTGAGGAGCAGACTGCTTTGAGTTCAACTCCATCACAGAACTCTCATCTTGAGCGAGCATGAAGGCGACAGTGGAAAGGAAAAACTCCCTCATGAGGAAGAAACCTTTAGCAGAACCAGGCTAAGGACAAGCTTCGACCGGCTGGGTTTGAGAGGAACAGATACACAATGGCAGGTCAAGAATCACATGTTAAGATAGAAATCGTATCAAATGAAAACTATTCAATTGTAACAATTCATTTGAAGAAATTAGGTCAATTTGTCCTCCAGTAGTCTAAGCCTATAGCAGCATAACAAGCCCTAACTATAGGATATATCAAAAAGGGAAGTCTTAATCCCAGTCTTAAAACTGGACATGTGTCAGCCTCATGGACAGAAACTGGAAGTTGGTTCCACAAAAGAGGAGCCTGATAACTGAAAGATCTTCCTCCCATTCTGCTTTTGGAAACTCTAGGAACCACGAGTAAACCTGCAGTCTGAGAGTGAAGTGCTCTGTTGGGAAAATATGGAACAATAAGATCTGTGATATAAGATGGAGCTAGGTTGTTGTGGCCATTTATGTTGAATTTTTGTAAATCATAATTTCTATCAATTTAGTTTTCCTTGGGCAGTTAAAATATATTTTAGTTAACTTGGTAGCTTTTGGACCCGCCCATTAATTAAAGAGATTAAGAACACACCAGGGGGTGTGGTGATGACGGCTTTTGCTTGTCATATGTCCTGTGTGACGATGGGAGGTTGTAGAATGATTTTTTTTTTTTTGTACCACTTTTGAAAACCTTTTGAACTTTTAAGATGAGATTAAGTTCACTTTTGTTTTCATCCAAGTTGTAAGAGATTTTTTAGTTGTTTTGTCCATTTTTTTGGCTGGAAATAAACTACATATATTTTCAAACAATCAAGTTGGAAGTGCGTTCAAGAAACTGACCACCTGTTGCCACACGGCCTTTCTTGGAAAGTTTTGGTTTGTAACTTAGAAGGTCGCGACATAGGTTGTTGAGAGCTTTGTAGGTTAGAAGTAAGATTTTGAATTCAATTCTGGATTTGACAGGGAGCCAGTGGAGAGAAGCTAAAACTGGAGAGATATGATCTCTCCCACTAACTCCAGTTAAGACTCTGGCAGCAGCATTTTGGATCAGCTGAAGACGTTTTAAAGAAGTATTTGGACACCCAGATAATAAACCATTGCAATAGTCCAAAGTAACTGCTTCTGTTCAGGGACAACAACATCGAGGAGTGTGGCCTGGAGATGTTCTTCTCCGTTGACAAGGAGATCCTTGGTGAAATCACCACCCATGAGCTGAAACCAGGAGGAGGAGACATCCAAGTCACAGAGGAGAACAAGGAGGAGTACATTAAGTGTGTTTACTTGTTTGCTTTTTGCCTTTTTTAAATTTTTGTTTGTAATCAACTATTGAATATATTTTGTAGTGGGTTGTTTGATGGGTTTCTGAGTAAGAGTTATAGTTTAGAAAAACTAAACCTCCGTATTACTGTACCTTACATTGAGTTTCATGTGATAAGTTGTGTGTTTCTCTGTGTAACCCCACCACCACACTCACCCGTAGGCTGGTAGCAGAGTGGCGTCTGTCCAGAGGAGTGGAAGAGCAGACTCAGGCTTTCTTTGAAGGCTTTAATGAGGTCCTCCCCCAGCAGTACCTGCAGTACTTTGATGCTAAAGAGCTAGAGGTATGGTTAAAGCAGAAACTTCTAGTACACAATATACAGTATACTCTGAGTAAGTTTTATTCTGCCCCAATTTCTTCAAATTTTATTTAACGGAGGCTGATATTCTTAGAGAATAATCTCATTCTCAGTCTGTCAAACTGATTTATTTGAGGTATTTATGAAAGCTGAACACTTGTTCTTTATGACAGGCTGCTGTTAACACGGAGCCTAAAGATTCCAGTAATTTGTTTTTCCTCGTTTGTTTTGCCGTGGATACACATCGGGAGCCCTTTTTTGCCCAAGTGGTTCAGAGGTCAGAATTGTGTGGCCTAACAATAAAAAGAAAATCCTCAGAAGATGTTCAGCTACTAGACTGAAAACGAGTCTTTAAAAATCAGCCAAAGACTAAAGACAAACCTTGAAAGGTCTTCAGAAATATCACTGACGACCACTTAAAAAGAAAATCTCTGTTTTGAAGGAAAATATATATTTAAAAAAAGATAGCTCAAGGTTTTAGCACAATATTGTGTGTTGTGAAATGTACAAAAAAGACCTGTGCTTTTTAATTTATTAATTTATTCCTGTTCTGTCATTCACAGGTGATGCTGTGTGGCATGCAAGAAATCGACCTGGGAGACTGGCAAAAACACACCATCTACAGGCACTACACTCGGACCAGTAAACAGATCGTCTGGTTCTGGCAGGTCCGCATTAACCAGCACATTTAACAATTATTTTTAACTGAATTGCAGAAATATAGTATTTAAAAGACTTGATGAGATCATTAAAGTGATGCAAATCTCCGAGTTTATAAAACCACAATGATAATTGAAGCTGCTATTTAAGTTTTAATTTGAATGTGTGATGCACCCTCATTCGCTTCACTCTGGGCCCACGAGCAAGGTCCTCAACCCTCATCTGCTCCCTAAACAGGTCTCTTGAAAATGAGTTCTCGTGGCTCAATGAGACTACCTGTATAAATAAAGGGAAAATAAAATAATAAAAAAAGTCAAAGTGCAACGATATTATTTGATTTGTTTAGATCTGTATCATAATGATGATTCTGTTTTAATGTAATGCAGTTGGTAAAGGAAATGGATAATGAAAAACGGATGAGGCTGCTGCAGTTTGTAACTGGAACCTGTCGTCTTCCTGTGGGAGGGTTCGCTGATCTAATGGGTAAGAGTTACAAAACATCAAATTTTACATGCATATCTATCTGTCTGTCTGGATGGATGGAGATATCTCGATATAGA